TAGATATGTGTTGCAACCTAAGTTTGCAGATGCAGTAAGAAATGCAGCTCGGGTAGCAATACATAAATTAAATAGTTGAAGTAGTCTTCCCATTTTAAAAAACATACATATCTTAAGAAAGTCGGGGCTGGGGATTTAGCTCAGTAGCATAAGTGCCTGCTTTGCAAGCAGGCTGTCATGAGTTCGATCCCTAGTACCGATAAAAATGAAAAAGACAAAAAAAAAAATAGAAAGAAAGAAAGTGAGCCAAGAGATAGGGGAACAGCTTAGTAGTAGAGCACTTGGTGGGCCCTCTACCCCACTATGGGGCTAAGGGATGCAGCCTGTCAGGGCTGGGAAATGCCACATTCTCATGCTGCCAAGGGCAGCAGCCCTGCAGAAAGCTGCTATAGGGCTGCTAACCTGCCCACATCTACTCCAGTTTGTTTAGAGTTAAGTGCCTGCAACTTTTGGTTAAGTCAGACACTCTATCAAAATCATTCTAGCTTCCACAGGCACAGCAGTTAATTCCATCTTCATTCTAGAGATGCCAGCTCCTCAAGGACAAATCATCAGGCTGTAGTCATCTATGAGTGCTAGTGCTAAGAGCCAACATGGTCCCTGGCATGTGAGTAGGTCTTGACAGGTCAGGTGAATATAGGCACACATAGCTAATGCGAATTGGTCCTTGGGATTGACATGCCCTTCTATGGAACTTGAAAGGCACCAACTTCAGTTGGGCCTCAACTAGAAAGCCTACAATGGCATTTCCTTTCTTTTTTCATTGGCCCATGCTGTATTTGATTCTGTTCCATGCCTGCTATCATTTGTTTTGAATCATTTAATCAGCAAGTAACTACGGATAGTCACTGGGGAGCCACAGTCAAAGAGTCACATAAGCTTCAGCCCCTGAAGTCTGCCCTCTAAACAGGAGGTGCCAGGGCCACTGAAGAGTAAATATACAAAGGAAGAAGTAACAGCAGGAGGAGGCCAGGAAAGGATGTGCACAACTAAGCCAGGACAGAGTCAGGTTTCCCTCCTCCCAGAGCATGTCTAGGGCAGGTGGATGCAGCACGTTGGAAGAAGAACAGTCAAAGAAGCTGCTGGTGGTAATGGAGGAGATACGATGCTGGACAGGACCACCAGAATGAGGTTTGGAGTCATATTCTAGGGCAAGGGGAAGCCATAGGGGTGCTTTAAGCATAAAAAGGACACAATGCATGTTTTATGAAGGTCACAGTAGGCTGTGGAAGCAGCATGTTAAAATGCTGGGTGCATTCACAACCTTAAGAAAAACAGTCAGCAAAAGCAGCCTTAGAAACATAGATGTAAATTGCCTGCTGCGCATCAGCTTTTGTAAGTGCTTGTTGACTGCAGAATCTGAATAGCTGTACCTGGAACTACTGGCCAGCACCACTGGGACATACCCATATAAAGAGTCAGCAAAGCATATATGAGTCCTGCAAACATGATGAGATGATCCTAGCCCATCATCTCCTGAGCTCAGCTATGCCCAGATTTTTCTGGTTTTTTTTTAGTTCCCATGAGTTTTCCTCAGAGGTATTTTACAGAGCTGAGCCTGTGTTTGAACAGTGTACAGAGTGACTGTCCTGTGTCTCACATGATTCCCTAATGCCAACAGTCGCTTTTCCCCATCCCACTGCAGTCCACTGCTGGATTGTCCACTGCAAATACATGTTCTGGAGGCAGCTAATCTGAGGCTGCTACTGTACCAGTTCCACTTGGTGACACTCCTGGGTATGGAACTACAGGCAGCAAAGCCATACCATCACATCATAGCACATTACATCACATTGCATCACATCCATCACATTCCTCACAGCACTGTCCACAAGGGTATAGTCTCTCTGCTTTGCATGTGCCAGTACAAGCACACTGGTGGTTTGTTTCCCTGCTAACTTCTCCAGTCTCATAAGGATATCTGTTTTTTCCAGAAGATTCAAAGTCAGCTATTTTAATCAAATTCTGGTAGATCGTGTTTAGTCTTGCCTCTCTCTACACATCAGTGTTACAGACCAATCCCAGGTCAGATGGGGCTGGGAGGGAAGGGCTGCACCTGCTCAATAATTACCACAGCATGTGGGAAATCAATTTCTCCACAATGTTCTGATTTTTGGTTCTTTCTTCCTCTCTTTTGTACTAGGGATTAAACCCAGGGCTTCCACACTGAACTACATTCCTAGCCCTTTTTTATTTTTTGAGACAAAGTCTTGCTAAATTGCCCAAGTTGGGCTTAAATTTGTGATCCTCCTGCTTTTAGTCTCCCAGATTGCTGGGATTACAGGTGTGTGCCTGGCATGATAATACCTGGATAAAGTGTTCTGTTTTAATGAGAGACAATGGGGAATTGGACATAGGGCCACATAACAAAGTTTAAGAATGTTTCTGTGCCACACATAAACAAAGAATCTTGGGAAAAAGGAAAACAGGTTTTGTCATGTAGAGTGGGTGAACAGGTGGTAACACCCAGCAACTACTATTTGGGTAAAATCCTTCCAAGTCACTTACTCTACTGATGACTTTCTTTGTGCCTTGGCTCTCTAGCCCTCCTACCCTGTCTTGCTTATTACCACTCCTCTCAGACACAAAGTGGTACTGTGTAACAGTCTGCCTCTGTTCACTCTTTTGGGTTTGGAAACAAGCATAATGAACTCCTTTGGTGCCCAAAGATGTCAGCAAAATGAGGAGATGCATTCTGAAAATATTTTCTTTTCATTATACAGAATACTCGTTATAACTGCTTTACTCCACTAATGCCAAGGAAGTCATAATAACAGCTTTTTTTTTTTTTGCAGTAGAAAAATGCCAGAAGTTTCCTTTGGTTAGCATGCATTACAGGGAAAAGCTATTTTTACTAGAAAGGAAGTGTGCAGAAGCTCTCCATATATAAAAAGCTTCAAAATATACTAGAGAATTCACAGAGATTAGTCACTGTCACTGTTTAGGACAAAATAGAGCCAGGCAAATGTTCAAGTCATATTTTCTGGAAAGTATGGTAATGATGAGATGACAATGCTTGTATTTTAGAAAAGTTAATCCTGTTATCTCCTCCTTTCTTCTCTGCTTCCCTCTCTGCCCCTGTCTCATTTCTATTTGTCCCCATCTTTTTTTGCCCCTTGTTCTGGGACTATGCATGATTTGGTTTTCAGAGAAAAGCAAGGGAGGCCACTGCAAGTGCAGGGACCATCATAAATAGACAAGTGATTGTCAACATGTAGGCTGATGGTGGGACAGTTGTGAGTGCAGTATGGCCAGAGCCTCCAAGATGGAGTCTGATCCTTTTGGTACATGGAATAACTTCATCCAAGTCACCAGAACAGATGGAGGGTGCTTGGTGGAAAGAAGTTGGCTGGCATTTGGCAAGGGCAGCTTAGGACTTGCTGGACTGCCCAGGACACTGCTTCTAGCTGCCTTCCTCCCTCTTGCTTTAGCTGGAGTCCACAGCCATTTCTGGTGAGTCCTTGTAACTGTAGGGGATAGGAAATAGAGCCACTTGGCTCAGAACCTAGGCAGAAACATGGAGAAGTCTTTCCTTCATTCTTGCTTTTATGCCTTACATCTAGATGTTTCCCCAAAGCCTCATGTGGTCATAGGTGAGGTTTTCTAGAGGTGGCTGGATCATGCTGGGACTGACTCATGATGTAATGCTAGGATTAAGGGTGTGAGTGTTACCCTAACTGTGGGCAGTTTGGACAAAATATAAAAGACAGAAAAAGTGTTGCTGTTGTTGGTTGCTTGTCACTTGCTCCTTGTTGCTTTTGCTGCCTTCTGACTATTATGGACTGTTTCTTCTCTGTGAAGGCCCTCTGCTATGCTGCCCTCCCTTGAAGCCAGCCAATTATGGACTGAAATATCTACAAACTGTGAGCCAAAATAAACATTTTCTCCTTTAACTTTGGTGTCAGGTATTTTGGCTCAGCAATGAGAAAAATAAGTAAGACACTTGCCATCTAGGTTTTCAGCCTGATTGAGACCTGAAACTCTCCTAGTACTGCCTTCTCAATAAAATAGCAGGGTCTTATTACCCAAGCTGACATTTTGGGCAGAAAATGTTGGTTTTCCTTTTCACAGAAATAATGAAATCAAGAAATTGTCATTCCTTAACGAAAGCCATAAAAGTAAATGAGAAGGGCAGGGTGGTCAATGCCTGTAATTCCAGTACTTAGGAGGCTGAGGCAGGAGGTTTGCCATGAGTTCATGGCCATCCTGGGTTATATAGTGAGTTCAAGGCCATCATGAGCTACATAGTGCGAGCTTGCCTAAAAAAAAGTAAATGAAACAGTGATATTAACTCCTAGCTAAAAGAGTACATAACTGTATTGGTGAAGACAACCCATGACATATGTATGCCCTCTTTCCCTGGGGTCAAAAGACTAGGAAAGAGAGAGAAGGCAGGGAAGGAAGAACACCAGAGGGAAGAAATGGGGATGGGGCACAAAGGCCAGAGGAGATTTGAAACCAGACATTTCAGTTTGGAAGGAGAGGAAACCAGGCACCCCAAAGAGATACTTGGGGTGTCTAGCCTTGCCCCTGCCCTCTTTTCATGCATGCAGGTTCCAGGCCATTTTGAATTCAACAAGAAAACCTCTACTTCTAAAATCAAAGCCATGAAGAAGAAAACTCTTAAGAATAAGAATATGGACTAAATAAAATAGCATTCTGTTTTGAGATAAGACTTAGGAAATATCGTTCTTGTTTGGGCTTTGAACTAACTGAGCACCTGTAGAAGTCAGAGGTGGATTTGGAACAATTTAATACAAGATTGCTGCTGGATCTGTCTGGGGATCAGGGAATGAGGTTGTTGCAAGGGGAAGTGGCTTGACACTTGGCGGTTCCCTAAGATAGTTCCTTGGATCTCGCTTCTTTCTGCAGTCCCCCATTGCTCCTAGGTCCAAAGGCCATAAGGGCACACAGAAAGCTCACTAACTAGCAGCTTAGCTTCCATTCCAAAGGGCTCTGGCTCAGAGTATGTGTTCCTGAACATTCTTTTTCACCAACAGGCTTTGTGCTGGTCATTGGGCTGGTGACATTCTACAGAATTGGTCCCTACACCAACCTGTCCTGGTCCTGCTACCTGAACATTGGTGCCTGCCTCCTGGCCACTTTGGCAGCTGCCATGCTCATCTGGAACATTCTTCACCGCAGGGAGGACTGCATGGCACCCCGGGTGATTGTCATCAGCCGTTCCCTCACAGCTCGATTCCGCCGGGGGCTGGACAATGACTATGTGGAGTCTCCATGCTAGTCACCCTTCTTAGGATGTCACAAGTGAATATCCACTCTAATGGAATATTCTAGAAACAAATGGGCTTTCCCAGGCAGAGGCATAGGATAAATCTGGGTTATCTACATACAACATGTACGATACTCATGTACATTTAGTATGTTACATAAGAATATATCATGTCTATGTATTATGTGCATCACTCTACTCCTGATAGTATCTTCCTTGGCTACCACAATGCGGCTTCATATCATGCACATTTCCAGAGTGGAGACGAGAGCCTGAGATGGGCAGGAGGTGATGTGAGAGCCTTGGTCTCTACCTTTGTTTAGAATTAATTTATTCTGCATCTGCTGAGGTAGTGCCCGGTTACATTTTACTTTCATAAAGCAGAACACTAAGCTTTTCATGAAATGTCCATGATATTCCTTGAGTGAATCAGAATTTATAACCAGGCAGCAATGGTTTTATGCCAGAATTGGGTTAGTAGTGTACGTTGTGTTCTGATCATTTTTCTAAATTAAAATAAATGCAAACATCTTAACTCTGTCTAAAATTTGTGTTTTATTCATTCGTACTGTCACATGGGGGAAAAGAATTTGATCAGTTTTCCTATGATTTTTGTAGGCTGATGCTAAGGGAAGGGCTAAAAGGATCCTATGGGTAACATACACTCATATCCATGGTACTAGGCAACTGAGTAGACCATAGACCCTGAAAATGGAGAATGGTAGATCAATAAGCAGAGTAGAAGGGATGAAGTCTGCTGGCTCTTCCCTGAGGAAAAACTCAGCCTCTTTTCAGTGGAGTGTTTAAGGGGCTGCCAAATGCCTTTCGGGCTCCACTGTCTCCTGATAAGTCCCTTTTCTCAGTCTGCAACTTGCAGGGTTGGGTAGAAGTCATCTAATATCTGTACCCTAGGGGTCAAAACTGGCCCACAGAACCCTATACTTCCTACCAGGTTCTAGTGGGACAGTTGCTCTGATCTGGCTTTGTATTGCTTCACCATAGCCACCATGAAGTGAAGTTCACAGAAGGTATCTGCCAGAAGAGGAAATCAGCACTGGAACTGACACTGGTGGGGAACAAGAGAAATGCTGTGAATCCTCCAGGTATCTGGCCACCACTCTTTTTAACTGAAGGTGATCAGTTTGGCTTCTGAAACCCATGTTGTGCCAGGAATTTGTCTTTAATCAGAACCAACAGTGAAATGGATTAGTGCTTTAAAATGTATAAAGTGACTGAAAATGACTAAAATGCACTATGGACTATATATGACATAGCATGTGGTATAGAAATATCTATAATACAGCACACTGGTGCAAGCAGTTAGCTCTTACCTTCTTCCTATTGACTTTTTTCCTACAAGGGATATTTATTTCCAAATCATATGTTAAAAGTAGTTCTTAGTATTATAGATACTACTATGTAATAGTACACTAAAGTTTTAAAATTGGCCATGTGGTCGGTTTTGAGTTTGATAGATTTGTAGTACATAAGGGTGATCCAAAAGACACTGGTCTATACCATTCAGCCTCTTTGGTTCACCTTTTTGTCTATATGGCTAGTATGGGAAAAGATCCTTTTTTTTTTTAATTTAAGGAGAAAAAGAAAAAAACAGAAAAAGGGTACAAGTAATATAAAATTTAAAAAATAAACAGTAAGAAATCACTAGTTAATAGATTACATATTCTCATCTTAGAAATAGTTGTTCAAGTTACAAAATTAAAGCATATAAAGTGGACTTTCAAATAGTGAGAGTGCAAACAGTTTTGTTCAATGACCCAAAAAAACTCAGTAATACGGTTATCTATCTTATACACTTCAACATATATGCAGTAATAACCTTTAGAGCACTTTCTTTTCTTTTGTACAATAACAATTACACCTTTTGGGTTTTATTACTCCTACAGTTCTTATTACTTTTTTTGAAGAGAGTAAAACCAAATTGTGACATATCAGAACAGAGTCAGTCAAATCAAAAGGATGGACATAATAGATAAGGTAAAAACAAAATATAAGGTGATCAACAATGGTTACCATACTGCCTCTTGCTAATTTAAGAATTGCCAGTTATAATAAAATTGAACAAAACAGTAAAGAATAAAACCAAAGCATTGGAGACATTACAAGACTTTAAAAGAAGGTAATAGTCAAACAGAATGGGTGTCATAATGAATTTTATTGTCTTCACAGTTGTTGCCTATACTTTCGAACTTGGTACTATCAAGCAAAGCAGAATAGGGGAAAATCAGTCAAAACAAAATGGTGAGGGCAGTATAGGATTTCAAATCAAGTTAATAGGAAATCGAAGTAGGATACTATAATGTATCCTGCTATTTTTTATTTATTTTTCCCTTAATTAAAAAGATAAAAATAAAAAAGTAAATAATTTTTTTAAAAAAAGGGGGATTAAGAGGGAAAAGATCCTTTTAACCGCAATAAAGGCCTGGTCCTGCTATTTAGAAAGACCAGCAGACTAGCTGGTTTAGAAAGACCAGGATGAGGGTCCTACATTAGATTGGTGTTGTGAGGGAAGTACCTTATGCATTACAAAATAATTATTGCAGATGATGGCTGCTTTAAGAAACTGAATTTTTAAAATCTTTTCTCCAAGTATCACTCTTGCATGATTTTCCTACCCTTTCAAAGTTAAAATTTATCAACTGCCCTTGTGTTAAGTATCTGAATTCTTTCAAGAATGCAAGAAGATATTTGTTAATGGTCTTTGATTGACAGCTTTTTTGTGTATTGCTAGAGAGAAAACCCAGAGCATTATACACAGTAAGCAAGTACTCTATCACTGAGCTACATCCTCAATCTACCAGATACACTCTTTTCTTCTTTGTTTTGGTATACTTGGGATGGATCTCATGATCTCACTCATGCCAGCTTGTGCTGCTGAGCTAAATCCCCAGCCCCTGCCAGTTACATTCTTTTATGGCAATTTAATTGGATTTTTCACCTTTCTGTTTTTGTTTACTTATGAGAACCTTTGAACAATATTTAGTAACTATGAACTTTTTTTTTTGGTCTTTTTCATCGGTACCAGGGATCTAACTCACGACTCCTGCTTGCAAGGCAGGCACTTTTGCCACTGAGCTAAATCCCCAGCCCCTGTAACTATGAACTTTTGATTAGGAAGTATCCTAAACACTTTTAAATAAGTGAAAACAAATTATATCCTGTAGGCTCACAGTACCAGATGCTAACAGCCAAGTTCACCAGCCTCACCAAATACATCTGCTGGACAGCACAGTGCCTGGCATCCTTGAGTTCAGTCAGCAGAATTTCGTGGAGTGAAAAGACCACTAAATACATTATAAAAAATCACAAAAGCATTAACGATTTTGAAATCTAAGTGAAAAGAAAGACAGACAAAGTCTCTAAGATGTATGCATGTCACCTTTTCATACCTCAATGAACAGAATCCTTACCTTTTGATGAGTTTGATAGATTTGAAAGCTTCATCCATATCTCCCACAGTGATGAAGAAGCTGAAGTTGAGCATAGCTTCCTGAGTGGGCTTGTCACAGTCCTCCAGCCCCACAAAGTCTCGTAAAGGTCTCCTGGCCACCATTTCGGGGATGTCATGGTGCTCAGAATGCTCCCTGTCTTCTCCATCTGCTTCTCCAGGCTGAAGACAAAGGTTCCATTTGTTTGTCAGGGCATGTGTCAAGGTAAGGGATGCACTTAAGTCCCTTTCTCTAGATACATGTCATTGCTGGGAAAAATCCATTTGCAGATGGACACAGGTATTCAAGTGATCTGTTTAGGGTCTTGGAAAACGTTTAGGGTCTGTGGAAATTATCAAAGCTTTGGGCCTTATCTTCAGGTATAAACAGGTCCAGATGTAAACTTGTTTTTCAATCTCTAACTCCCTAATGTCAATAGTTAAAAATGGCTGTAATTCTTTCCATTTCTGAAGTGTTTTATTTATTTTTTTTGAGACAGGATCTTGCTATATCGTTCAGGCTGGCCTTGAACTCACTACGTAGCTTAGGTTGGCCTTAAACTGGGTGCAATCCTCCTGCCTCAGCCTCCCAAGTACTAAGATTACAGATGTGTGCCACGATACCTGGCCGGGGTATGTTTTTCTTAGTCATAAAGACTTTTTACCAGCTTGAAATAATTAAATAATCAAGTCAGACATGCGTACATATCTGTCAGGTTTCTTAGAATTAAAGAACACTGATCTGACTTCATGAAGAATTTTCCAAAAATCATAACCTGGATGAATTTTGTACTCTTCACTGGTGTTTTTTCGTCTTTTTCTTTTATCGGTACTGGGGATCAAACTCACGACTATACACTGGCAAGGCAGGCACTTATGCCGCTGAGCTAAATCCTGAGCCCCCTTCACTGGTGTTTCTCAGAAGAGTTGTCAATCTAGTACAGCAACCACCCCCTGCTCCCAAACAGGCACCCTAAGAAAGAGACATATTCCTGCAGGTAATGATAAATACAGCATGCTAGGCCTCCCTCCTGGAGCAATCTGCTATGGTTACCTATACCAGACACTGGGGACCAAGAGCTGTCAGACTTTCTACTCTACTATCCTCAAAAATGTATGAGCAATGGAAATCTGGAACCAATGAGGCTGAAAAATTTGCATATACACAAACAATGAGAATAAGGGAAGGTTTTGTTTTTGTTTTAGACAGGGTTCTGCTGTGTATTCCAGACAGACTTTGAACACTGGATGTAGCCAGGCTGGCCTCAAACTTGTGATCTTTCTCTCTCAGCCTCTGAGATTATTGGTATGCACTGCTTCACAGATACTAATACTATTATACTTCACACTAATACTATTCCCCACACTGCAAATAAGGGTCCACCATGCTTTTCCTGGCAACATACATCAGGTGAGATAGCTGTAAAATCACAGGTCAAGACCAGGCCCACAGTCCACTCTTGTCCAGCTTAGCTCAGCAACATGGCACCCCACTCAAAGAGCTAGATCTGAGCAAGATGTGGTGATGCATTCCTATAACCACCCTGGGAGACTGAAGTAGGAGGATGGCAAGTTTGAGCCTAGCCTGAATAACTTAGCAACCTGGCATGACCCTGTCTCAAAAAAAAAAAAATTTAGTAGTATGAAAGCCCTGATATATTTCTGAATAATTCATCTCCCAAAAAGCTGGCTCTGGTGCCTCTGCCACCTAGAAAAGCTCTTCACATGGATAAGAAGGCTAAATACAAAATGTTGGGGTACACACATATACATAAGCTGGGCAAGAAATGTCAGACTACACGTGGATACATATGCTAGGGGGCAATTGTTGGTGACATCAGAGGACACAGGCTGGGGGTGGGAGTGTTAGCACAGGTAAGGGTACACAGGTTGGTGGGGAATGTCAGTGCACACACAACACTGCATAAAATGCAGAAGAGAAGCGTCTTAGGAAATGACAAAGCCAAGGTGACAAACCATAACTGAGGCTCTCTACTTACAATGGTGTCATACATGCCTCTTTTCTGGAACAACAACTATGAGTGAAGTGCATAGGAGACGTGGGACAGAGAGAGACAAAGAAAAGATAC